TTAGGGTTTAGGGCTGAGCTATAGCCTAAGCTCCTTAAAAGGGGCTATATGGGGGACTACTATAATGATCTATAATGGAGAATCAAATGGAAAAGAACACGGAAAATGAAATGGAAACTGGGATTTTGTAGGGTTATGAGCTATAGTCTAAACTCCTTAAAGGGGGTTATATAGGGGGACTATATAAGGCAGCATTACAGGGCTTATAAGGGGGGATACTAGGAGTTTAGACTATAGCTCAACTGATGATTGAAGGGATTAGATCCCTCTAGTGTCCCTATGTACTAGCAATTCACACGGACATGGCAGTGTCCGATTTCTTTTTTGCACAACAGGCTTCGCAGCAAGCGGAGACGACCCAAGCTGGGACCATTACGGAGCAGCCTCCTGAGATGAGAGTTTCAATCAAGGATTTGTAAGAATCAGGTGTGTGCTGGTGCGCCAGCCTGTCAAGTAGGGTGCAATGAACGTGCTTTATGTGCATCGGGCTGAAAGCCTTTGCCTCAGGTTTCTTTTTTGGCTTCGTAGTGACATGCAAAGCCATTCCCTTGAATCCGATGCTCTTGCCAGAGCTTCACCAGGTTCCGGCAGCTGATCGAGTACCCGCCGATCTCAGAAGAGGACTCATTTCGGTTTGTCCGTACCAGCACGCAAAAATGTCCTGATGGACGGCAGTCAGGACATGTTTGCGATTGAAAGCAGGGAAGCAATCTATTTGATTTGGGACAGTGTCCATCTTCAGCCACCAAACCTGCGGCCTGAGTTTTGAAGGATCAAATCAAGCTGAAGGGCACCTTGAAGCAGTTCTCCGGCTGCATCTAGATGAGAGCATGCTAAGAATTGCTGGCGCCATGCACTCTCTGAAGCAACCATTGGTTAGAGAAACTGAAGAGGTACCGAGAGTGGGAGGCAGCCCAACTGCAAAAGATGCGAAATGCAGTCAACGGCTCAGTTGGATTTTCCGCGCTTTGCCCACTTGACTTGGTTCAGGTTCAGGGCTTAGAGCTTGCCCCACTGGCACAAAAAGGGAAGAGCCCTTTCCCTGCGCCAGCATTGCCACATGTTTGAATCCAGAGACCATGTCAACTCAACAAAAAGCACGCGCGGTGTCACAAGGGCAAGAAGGAAGATCCGAAGGCAAAAGCCAAGAAGGCGCGGCTCTGCGAAAACCAAAGACCTCGCTAACAAAAAGCTGCAGTGTAGTGTTGCAGCATTTGAAGCTTTTCGGTTTCGTGCTCGCCTCTGCTACCACAGTGCTATAGTAGCTGAAGTTTTTCAGCCTCATGCTACGCGGTATAACGTCCAGGCATGGCCTGCGCGCGCATGTGCATCAGGACAAAGCCAAGGAAAAGGCGAAAGAGAAAGGCTAGTCTTGGCCTTCAAATGCCTTTCAGGGAATGCTACCGCCTCTAGGTTCTTTAATCTTCAGTCACCTTGCAGCTAGCTTCAGCCAGCACTTGTCCCTTTCCCCATTTCGTGGCATTTTTGTTCAAAATGCATGCATCCTGTAGAGTATCATTGACCTAGTGTTCTTGCAGCTGCCAGGAAAGAAAGGCAAGAAGGGCAAGAAAGAGGAGGCACTGGGGGATGTGACAGCCGAGCCCGTCCTTGATCCCATCCTTCTTTCAGGTTCTTGCCTTCAAGAGAGTTTCTTCTTTGCACCAGCTGAGATTGGCATGCAGTGTAGATTCTTGTGGCCTTCAGCCGCATCTTAAAGCCGTAATAAAATTACATCTAGATCCTGCAGCCGAGCAACCCTCTGATGAGTTCCCTGCCGCGGCAAGTCGCACGCAAATCGATACTGGAAGCGCCGAAAGTGGATGGCAACTCCCGCAACTGCTTCATCAAAATCAAATTTTAAATAGATGGATAGCCAGGCATGCCGCAGTATCCTTTCGCAATCCCCAATATAGTTCAAACAGAAGTCAAGCGGGGGGCTTTTGCCAGGAAGTGGTTGAAGAGGCCAAGGAGATCCCTCCAGAGCCCGCCTTTGCGCAGGCAAGAGGTTCCTTCAGGTGCATTTACAGCAGTAATTGTTCATGATAATGACAGTCAGCCGAATTCTTGCAACAACCGACGGCCACAGCAGATTGTTGTGGCTTTAATTTGTTTGCCAAAGCTAGAGACTACAACAGTCAGAGTTTTCCGCCTTGTGGCAGTCAAGGGGTGAGTTATGGCGGTAGGCACATATTGCGAAACTCTCAACACAAATTTGGGGTGTCCTGATGACATGGATTCGATTCTGCCGCAGGTTCACCATATAAATAGGTATACCAGGACCGTCCCAGTGCCAGTACCCTTAGATAGGGGTATAGGGTCCCTAAGAATGGGCATTTAGGGTAGATAGAGGGTAGATGGAGGGTCTAGGTACCTAGCTTTCACGGATGCTCAACCCTAAACTCTAAACCCTAAAAGGATGGGTCTCTCAACTGTTGATCCAACCTGGCGTATCTTGCAGGGCCTGAAGCTCGATCCGTTCGAGCATTGCGTGAAGGCAGGTGTTTACATGTCTGTTGTTGCTTGTTTGTTCGTCGCCTATGAGCGGCGTGTTCGCCACCTTTGAGTGGCGTGTTGCTGTGTTGAGCAAAGATGTAGTGTCTATTTTTGTTGTCTCTGCTGTTCTGCATGCCGCCTACTCGCTCTTTCACCTGCCATATGGGAAATATCCATTTCCTCGTGTGTGCCCCAAGAATGCCATAGTCAGGGACTGCACCTTTGTGTGCGTGAGTGAACATGCAAGTGTTCGCTTGCTAGCTTGCTTGGGTGGGCTAGTCACATGCATGCTTCAATGGAGCAAGCGGGCGAGGCTTGGGGGAGAGGAGGGATGGGGGAGGGCGGGGGTATGGACAGAGGGAGGGGAGAAGGGAGGAAGAGTTGGGGGAGGGTGGGGGGTGAGCTACTCACAGGCCTGTTGCTTTTCTATCAATCCCTGTGCAGTTCATGTGACACAACTGCATGTCTGTTGTGGACCTCCGCGCGGGCAGAGCCTCCTCTGGAGAGAGTTCCGCTAGCACGTTGAGATTGACCCGAGCGTGCATTACCTCTCCTAAGGAGTACAGCAAACAGGCGGGCGGATGTCTCTTTTCCTCTACGCGCTACTCGAGCATAGTCCTTTCAGACAAGCCATGGCAGAAGATCTTTACACTCACGTGCGTGATGAGGACTTCTATGAAGAGACGCGGCATATACCACGCCAGCAATGTCAACGTATGACGTGACCCGTATGTCACAATTTTCCCAGGTGACGACAAAAATACCACCTTCATTCGATGGGAAGACATCCAGCTTTGCATTGGAAGATGCGATAGACGACTGGTGTGACATAATTGAATTGCACGAGGAGAAAGCAATACCAACCCTCAGGAACAGGCTTGAAGGCAATGCCACCATCTACAAGGAAGATCCTGGACAGGGTAAAGCTGAAAAGCGAAGAGGATGGCACTGCTTACTTCAAGCGGACTCTGAGGCCTTTCTTTGTGACGGGGAGCGTCAATGTCTTCTTATACCGCCTTCATCAGTTCTTGAATCTACGGCGCGGTTCGTCTGATCTTATGAAGAGGATGTCAAGATTGCAGACTCAGCTGAAAAGATTGGAAGAACCATGGGGAGATACATGGCCTTCCATCACTGGTCACAAGCACTTTCTGTGGATGAACGGCGAGAGATGTCCACGACCCAAATTATGACCCCTAGGTCAACGAGAGACGAAGACAGGCGCGTGTGTCCAAGGTGCCGCTGACGAAGACTTTGACAGGACTCCTCTCTGTCCCTTTATCACACGCAGAGCTGATTCTTGATCAGAGGATGTCACTTACCAGCATCATGGCACACCGTGGCATTGATCTGACTGGGTTGGACGCGGGTCCCTCAGAGATATGTTCCTTGAAATGTTTCGCAATCCAATAACAGCCGTGGGCAATCCGCTCCTCAACAATGCCGGCCATGGAGGAAGAAGGAGCTTCATCGTAGTGGATGAAGGAGAACTTGATGGCTCCTTTGGTTTTTGGGCCGAAGATGAGGACGACGGAGCAGAAGGTTTTCTGGATGCACACGAAGATGTCTTCTACGTTGCTGGTGAACAGAATGAATCCAGGTTCCAGCGTCGCTTTCAAGGCCGCCAAACGAGAAAAGACAAAAAGGTAAAGGGCCCGGATCCAAAGGCCGCGGCAGAGGCCGTGGTGGAAGAAAATTCTTCCAGTCACGTCGTAGGAAGAAGGGACACTGTCAGGAAGATCATGGCCAAGCGGATTGGTCTTGGCAAGCTGAAGAATCCCGGCCGTGGCCAGCAAACAAGCCTGATGATGGTTGGGCAGCAGACTCAGGGCAAACATGGGATCAGGAGTCGGCGAATGAGCAAGTAGAAAGCTACAAGTCTAAAGGTAGAGACGAGAAAGGCAAGAAGGGTAAATATTGTAAAGACAAGAAAGGCAGTTCAAATGTAGCTTCATCACAGTCTGAGGCTCAAACTGCAGTAGATGTCCCTGCGTTGCCTGCATGTTTCTTTGCTATGCAGCATGTAGGAAGCCCAGCCCACGTCGGGGGACCTGAACTTGTTGCAGCCTGGCCCAGTCCGCGTTGGGGAACCGGCAAATGGACCTAATTGACCTGATGATGCAGAAATAGATCCCTCAGCAGGCCCACTCCATGGTGAGGAACCTGATAGTATTCGCACTCTGAGGTAAAGCCGCAGATTGCGCGTCTGTGGCAAGGACATGAGGAATGGCGCCTGACATTCTTCAACAATATCAAACTCAGTGCAATGGGTTGAACCGTGATAATCATTCATGCAAACCACCAACTTCTCAGTGCGCTTGGAGGTTTGGCTACCGGCAAAGAAGAACTGAGATGCGGTAGGCTTGATTTGGTAAGTGTTGTGGCCTTGGCCGCCAATGTATTTGCAAAAATGGTTCACAGCTGCTCTAGAACCCATAGCCTTAGTACACCCTAAATCTAAAATAACCTTAGTAGGGGACTTATCCACAACTTGCAAGGCTGCAGGAGATGCCATCATAACTTCCCCAAGTTCATCAGGGTCATCCTCATCATCACAGTCATCAGCATCTTCATCCCAAGGAGAAGGATCATGATAATCCGGCCCTTCTACTTCTAGACCTCAAGGAGGCTTATCACCTGCAAGTCGAGCCTGGTGGAAACACTTCATCAAATGGTGGCTCTCTCCAAGTAGGCCAGTCAACCACTTCGCCTAAATCATCATCAGAGCTAGTCTCCGCCCGGTTATCATACTGTTGCTCGTAAGCTTCTTCGACGGCGTTCATTTCAGCCGAAGTGAGATGATGAGGAACAGGGGTACCAGATGGTGGCACCTGCTTCCCCTTGCCCTTGTCATTGCGCTCCAAGGTGTAGGCTGGCTTACCCTTGAAGGCAGGTTGGCCATCATACCAAACATTTTTTCATCAAGCAGTCTTAAGATAGCTTTGCCTTTGCCATACCTGTGAGTGCGCGCAACATCATTTGGCAAGTCAAATGGCTCTTGTGGAAGAGTCAGTGCATTTTTATCTGGCGCCTCATCTTCCTCATCATCCTCAGAAAGTGGGTCGGGAACTTGATACTTCTTACCCTTCCCTTTTGGGAACATGTAAGGGACTGGATGTCTCACAGGACGGTCGGTGCTGCAACTCGACGGTTCCCCGCCGTGGAGTGGGCCTCCGTATTCGGCAGAAAGGGGACCATCACGGCCTGCTGGCGCAAAGACCACAAGGTATCCACCTCCGCGCGTGTCCCTATGCTGGTCACGGTCCATTCTCCTGAACATTTCACCTGACGTATGGGACGACAACGCGTCACAATCAGTAATGCTGAAGGAGCCATACGCATGTTAGGACACAATGCGTCAGCGCGCAACGTGTCATCAGGATTTCCCCCTCTTCTGAAGCTTCAGAACCTGTGTCTGGCGTAGGTGTACGATGTGTCCTACGCAACTCATCCATGAGTGCATAGTACAGCTAAAGTGGAATCAACCACCCTTCAAGGAGAACGTGCTAGTACCGTGGTAGTCTTCTTCGCAAAGTGAACAATAGCCTGGCTTCACAAAAGTGCTGACCCAGATCGTTGCGCCGCGCGACGAACCGGACATTATCATCCCTATACCGGCGTACCTCAAACTTAAACCTATGGTGGAAAATATTCCACAGAACCCGCGCTTCATGTAATGCTTCAGGGTAATCATTGGGGTCAGCAATGGGCCCATGAGCTCCTGAGATATCTGCCGCATTCACAGGATAAACCGCAAGAGTTTAGGTACTTCTTTGCCTTGCAGGAAGGCCGGCTTGTTCATGTGTCAATGGCTCATTGACGTCGACCTCACTGTCAGGTTCTTCTTCGGTGACTGCAGCACTTTCTCCTTCTGACCCTGAAGAAGGGAAGGCAACAAGCCTTCCTTGGCTGCTAAGGTAACAGGCCCTAACTTGCCCACGCCTATGAGGGGCATAGATAGGGATACCAGGCCGTGGAGCCTGCGTTCCCTGTGGTGCAGGATGGCCGTTTCCCTTACATTTGCTTGCGTGCGCCTCCAGTAAACGCCCTTGCCTACACTCATACATGCGTAAGGCTGGGCCCAGAAAGACCTCAGTTCACCAATGAAATCTCCAAACTCATTATACCACGTACGAGCTCTTGGAGTCTTATTGCGGAGCCAAGGAAGCAACTCGGAATGAAGTGCAATGATGCCAAGGCTAGGGTCCTGTGGAGGCAAGTGAACCTATTCCAGCGCAGGAGGTGTCAGCCCGTCAGACCTTCACTACGGTAAGGTCGGCTGTTTGGTGGAGGCTTATCCAAGTCGTCATCACCAAGCTCGTAATCACTACTGTGCCCAGACAGGATCAAGAAAAGGAGAGTACTCATGGTAAATGGATGATGTATGGTAAACCCATGGCTCGATGCATTGTGGAGGCCAAGGAGAAACACGGATGACGGAAGAACCACCTACGTACCTTTGATTGGCAAAGAGCGCCGCAACCTTCTGCGCGTGCTCAGTGCTTAGCTTATCACACATGAACTTTGGGAAGTGGTGTTCACTGCCAGGCTCAGGAAAGTTGAATTCGGCATCAGGGAACCTTGTACGCGATCCACCAGTAAGCTCTCTCCCTTTCTTCAAGATCAAAACGTTTAAGCGTCTTATAGGTCCTCACAGGCAGGGCTTGTTTATGAAGAAGATCCCTTTCTTCATACCAAGATAGGTCCCTAAACAGAAGCTCCCGTATGAACTGTCCTACACTACCATTCCAGCGGTAGAAGGCGGGCTCTCGCAACACATCTGACGCCAAGAGCTGGAGAGCCATGAAAGGCAGAATGCCAAACCTATCATAGATACAATGAACATGGTGCCATTGATTAGCAAGAAGCCATTCATGGTAAACCACAATCCTAGGTCCAGACGTTGATTCCTCATGAAGGAAACAACTAGTTCTTAGAGTCCTGGTAATGTCAGGAGGAATTCATCCCTCAACCGAAGGCATGTCTATGCTGGCATAGAAGTAGGATCCATACTCTGAGTCATCACAACCAACGTCAGGAATGTAAAGGTCATGACACCTTTCGACCGCAGAGTGTGTATCCACTTCTTGACGCATGGTACAGGTCCTACGGACAGACAGGGTGCCAGACAACCTGATGACAATCTGTAAACCTACGGCGTTTCCTCGCCGTAAGTCAGCCTCCTGGCGAGTCAATCCGTTCATTATCACCAGCGTCAACTTGTGCAACATCATCTGGCTCGGCGTCATCAACGTCGGCGTCGGGCCCATCATCTGGTTCCCCAGTGTGGACCGCGGGGTAAGCTCCTGCGTGATGCATGGCAAAGAAAGACGCAGGCAGACTGTGACTAGGACTAGGAACTTCCACTGCAGTTTGAGCTTCAGATTGCGATGGAGCGGCATTAGAACTGCCTTTCTGGTCCTACCATCCTTGCCCTTCTTACCGTTCTTGCCTTTCCCCTTTAGACTTGCAACTTTCTTCATGCTCACGTGCTGATTCCTGATCCCATGACTGCCGTGAAGCTGCAGCCAGCAGCCATCGTCAGGCTGGTTTGCTTTCGCCGCCAGGGTTCTTCAGTTTGCCAAGACCAACCTTCTTGGCTGTGATCTTCCTGATAGTGCCTTTCTTCTTGCGACGTGATTTGAAGAGTCTCCTGCCACCACGGCGTCGGCCGCGGCCTTTTCCACCGCGTCCTTTGCCTTTGCGCTTCCCCGATCTGCGGCCTTGAAAGCGGCCCTGGAACCAAGATGCATTCTATTCATCATAGATGTAGAAAATATCTTCGTGCGCATCCAGGAGGCCTTCTGCACCATCGTCCTCATCTTCGGCCCAAGAACCAAAGGAGCCATCAAGTTCTCCTTCATCTATCACGATGAAGCTCCTTCTTCCACCGGCCGGCATTAGTAGGAGAACATTGTCCACAGCTGTTCTCGGATTGCAAAACATCTCAATGAAAATGTCTCTGAGAGTACCGGCGTCCAACCCAACCAGATCTATGCCACGATGTGCCATCATGCTGGTGAGTGACATCCTCTGGTCAAAAGATAATTCTGCGTGTGACACAGAAAGGAGTCCTGTCAAGCTCTTCGTCAGCAGCGCCTGCTGCGTATGCGCTTGTCGTCGCCCCCCATTGACAGCAGTCAGGATTTGGGTTGCGGACATTGCTTGCCGTTCTTCCTCAGATAAAAATTGTGTATATAATTTCTTTTCATCATGTGCTGGATCACTGATGGGTGTCAATGTGTCACCCCATGCTTCTACCCGTCTTTTCAATTGAATTTGAGAAATCTTGACATCCATTTCATAAAGTCAGATGAACCACGGCGCAAATTCATAAACTGCTGAAAACGATATAAGAAGATGGTCACACTGCCTTTCACGAAGAGAGGTCGCAGCATCCGCTTGAAATATGCCACACCATCCTCTTTGCTCTTCAACTGATCCCTGTCCAGGATCTTGGTGGCCTCTCCTTCAAGCCTGTCCCGCTGGCCCTCTCTTCTCATCATCCAGTTCTGTTATGTCGCGCCAGTCATCTATTGCGTCCTCAAACGCAAACCATGATGTTTTTCCATCAAAGGAAGGTGGTACTTTCGTCGCCGCCTGGGAAAACTGACTCATTCGAGTTATGTCGTATGTCGACATTGCTTGCGTGGTATACGCCTTATCTGCCATGGCTGCTCTAGATCTTCGGGAGCCCTTCTCCTTTCGAGCCCCCTGCGCGTGGGGCACCCTAGGGGTACCTCCGCGTGGACAGAGCCTTCCCTGGAGAAGAACTCCGCTACCACGTTGAGATTGGCCCGAGCGCGAACTACCTCACAACGGTGTAAAGTAGACAGGCGAGCGGGCGTCGTTTCTTTTCACCACTCTACGCGCAACCTTGAACGGCAACAACAACATGCAGTTGTGTCACATGAACTGCACATGCGTCAGCATTCACGCTCCCCCCCCTACCCACCCGCCCCCTCTAATGGTCCATGATGTCCATGATATAGAATAGGATTAATCTAACCCCTTTGTGGTCCTGTGATCCTGTGGTTTGGGCTTTGGTGGTTTATTTTGAGATGTTCATATTAATTTTATAATAGAAGCTTACAGTGTTTATGGAGGGGTTCTATATGATTTAAAGAAGGTTTGCAGACGGTTCATTAATTCGATAGCAGGTGTTTAAAGGTCTCAAGAGATTTTTTGAAAGGGTTTTTAGAGGCTTTCCGAAGGTTTGATAGCGCTTTATACAGATCTTATGGAGAAAGATTGTTTCTAGATGGTTCCTAAAGGTTGCTTCGTAGAATTGTAGAAGGTTTACAGAGGGCTTTAGCTGCTATAAACGGCTTGCAATTTAGTGGAAGCCCCCGCCTTGTGGTGCTGTGGTCCCATGGTCTGGGTCCTGTCCTGAGGGTTTATAGAGGGTTTGAAAGAAGGTCTTTAAACAAGCGTTGCGGAGAATTCATGTTCTGGGAGTTAAAAGATATGGCATATTCCCAGATGAGGACCATACCATGGGGGGGGGGGCTGAGAACGCGGAGCGCGGACGCATACATGGACTGATAGCAAAGCAACAGGGGTGAGATTGGCACGAGCGTGAACTACCTCACAAGAGTGTACAGTAGACAGGCGAGCGGGCGTCTCTTTTTCACTGCGTACTACTCGAGTATTAACTCCCTAGAACTTTGAGTGAGAGCGGCAACAACAACCAGCAATTGTGTTACATGAACTGCACATGGACTGATAGCAAAACAACAGGACTGTACCTATTTCAGGGGGTGGGCATGGGGGAATGGGGGGAAAAATAAGAAGGGGCTTGGCGGCGGCTAGTGGAGAAGGTTACTGAAAATGGAGGATCGCGGAAAGGTGTAGGGCTTCACGCGGCGCCGCGCCCAGGACGGGGGCGGCGGATCATAAGAGCTTTGCTGTTATCTAAGTTTTTGGGCATGCTGTAAAGGCCCCTTACGTAATATTGAAGTTGTGTCCAACAACATAAGAGGGAAAGAGAAAAGACCGCGGCAAACAAAGTTGTCCAGTTCATCTTCTTGCGGAGGTTCTGCAGGGCCGCCTCGGAGAGCAGCCTTCCCCGGAAGCCGCAGAGCTGCTCAGCGCGGGGCTTGAACACTGAAAAGTAACTTCGCTCAGCCAACCATAGGTGTGATGCCTGTGTAACTTGACTTGGATTCACTGACGGCATCGAACCAAGCTGAAGTATTTTTGAGGTCGAGCCCTCGCGGTGCTTGCCGTTGCTGATAGGGAGGTGCGTGGTGCCGAACTGGACTGCAGCGTAGCTTCCCCAAGCTCCTTCGAGCTATCCCGAAACAAGGCCCCAACAGCAGCTCAAAACACGCAACCAAACTCTGCTACTGTGCAGGTCTAGTTTGTCTAATGCAGCAGATAAAACCATGGATATGCACTTGCCCGTGCAGCCGTTTGCCGATGTAGTGGGTGTATGGTATAAGCCGAGTCCAAGAAGAGGATGGTTATTGGAGGGCGAGCGGTGTGGGTTGGGGGAGGGGACAAGGCAGGTGGATGGGATGCCCCAGGCCCGGCTCAGGCTCATGTAGCCTCTGGCCTGCAGGCGGAGCTTCGCGTAGGTAGTCTTGTCCGTGTAGTTTGCGTAGTCTGTATGTTTTGTAAGTAAACAGGAGTTCGTGCTGCATAGATTAGTCTATAGCCCAGGAATGCCACATAGTCTGCGTCGGCAGCGCGATAGCAAGAGTGTGCTCGCGTAGTCTGTTCTGCAGGAAAAAAAGAAATCCGAGTAGTTCGCGTAGGTATTTTATGCTAGCACAAGATATTTGATGTTAACAATGCCTCATCGATATCCCTTCTCATTTCTGTTATACCTTTGTAGGATCCCCTCAAGGATGCAGCACCTCGATTTTGAGAAGGCCTCATTTGAAGCCGGGCTGGCAGGGCGCCGTGGAGCTGGAAGCCGTGCCGTTGGAGATGCCTCAGGCCATCTTCCCCTTAGAGGTTTTAGGTGTTTAGGGCTCAGGGGTTTAGGGTTTAGTGTTTGAAAGGTTTAGGGTTTGAAGGGTGTTGTGTCCAAGTACCCAACTCCTAAGTATAATCTGAATGGTTGTAGGGTATTTGGACACTTAGGGATCAACAGTATAGAGGGTTTGGACTTGGGGGTGTCTCAAATTTACGGAGTAAGTTTTGGAGTTCCATTTCTAATGAAGTCGAAGATCTCGCAGGAAAAAAGGAGACCAGGACCTTCAGAAAGGCCTATGCAGGGATTCCTGGTGGGGCACTTCTCCAATGTTTTTGGGGCCGTCAGGAGAAGTGGCCAGCAAACTCAACACAAAGAAGTGCTAGATCGGTGCTGTTTCTCGGCTTGCCTAACCGTTCCTGTGTAGTGCTATCTAGCGTTTCCGGCGCTACCACGCGCGCGGTAGTGCCTTCGATTTCTTGCCCGCTGCTACTGCGCCACTCCCCCTCGCCCTGAACCTGACGTTAACGTATCCTTGTCCTATGATGGTTTTAGGCTCTCTGCACGATGCCGTTGCTGATTGCATCCTTTCTCAAGTCAAGTGGTGGAGCGATGCTCATGGTTCTTATCCTAAACTCCTGAGCACATCAGCCTTTCCTGGCAGGGAGCGACGGAAGAGGCTGAGGAGGACGCTCTTTCCATTGTCAGCGCACGGTCTAGTTGTTCAATGTGCCTTGCCCTGCCATTGGGCATGCCAGAGTAGTTCCGGGGCATCATGGTTTCCGCTGCCCCTTTTCAGTGCCCTTCACGGCCTCAACCGCGCATTTTGGGTCTCAGCAGGTCATCAACTCGCAGCATCATCAACCAAACTAGTAGTACATTGTCAGATCATCTCTGCGAAGTGAACATGTCATAGTATCCCCCTTGATAATTCAGAATCAAATTCAAAATGAAGTGGAAACTGCCATATATAGAGTTACGTAGGGGATTTTAGGGGCTATAGTTTTGTGATTCTTATCTTGCAAGCAAAGCCCTGCATGTCACAGGAGGCTCAAGCAGCGGATTGCGCCCGGAAGCCGGAGGAGTTGCCAAAATTGAGAGAGTGATTTGGTCATAGGCCTTCAGTGGGGAAAGATCTGCAGACCGACCCATCACCCCAAGCCCGTAAACCCTATTAAACCTAACAAGCGCCCATAAACCTCAAAAGACAACTTAATAGAGCTGCAAGAGGTTGAAATTTGTACAGGCAGTGATGCTTTAGATGATAAACCTTGGTAGCAGGTCTCCAAGTATTGAGGAGGGTTTGAAGTTGACGGATTACTGGGATATGGAGGCGGCCTATTTTGGGACACGCTACTTGTCTGAATGTTCGAGCAGCAGCGGTGGTAGTCCAGCCAAGCGCATGTTTTTTGAAGAGTCGATGATACAGAATTTAGTTGTGGAGGTTGCTGCAGTCCTAGGATTGGGCTTTCAACTGGTAGTTGATGTAAAGACGGCAGCGGCCAAGGATCAAGTTTGAAACATAGTCAGCTGATCTTCGGAGTTGATCTGGAGTAGCCTGGTGTGGTCGTTTCTGATTGTCACGAAAAGCTGGATGGATCTGACAGGACTCCATGCAGGACCAGGAGAATATTGCAGCAACCTCAAGATATGCTTGCACAGTCAGCAAGTCAACTTGCATGGCACTTAGACTCAGCATGTCTGTTGTTCACGCCCTCAATGTGAAACCATGCGACTTTCCGGCTTGCCGGTGACAAGGCCCCGCAGGCGCCAAAATCAGCCTGGACCTCGGCCCCTGGACCTGCATCATCAGGGGCATCATTCAAGTGAGACTCCACACCCTCCCTTGCTTAGGTCTTTTCAGATTCTGCACGAGCGAGTCCGCAAGATTCATGACACAAGCTAGACACATAACTGCTGATGCAGTGCCTAAGCATTGGCTACCACCTGACGGACTAGCGTAAGAGGATGAAGGATGTGAGGATACTTCAGAGGCATGACCCTGCCTCTAAGGCGCAACGCCTGAAGCCACAGCAGGTAACACTAATAACATGACTCGCAACAAACCCTCCCTTAACAGTGTTTTTGCGGCTTCTTACGTGGAGATTCGCGCGCTCTTCTAAACCATAAAGATGGCCAACAGCATGTGCAGGGGACCAGGACGTTTTGAACAACCTTTGTTTGAAGTTGCAGGCAATGCCTGGCTGTGTCCACAATTCAGTCGTGTTGCGGCTTTCTGGAGTGATCCTACTCAGGTCAAGAAGGGCAAAAAGCGCCTTTCTGTTGTGGAGAATTTCCGGCATGTACTTGCACCACTGCTTGTGTCAGAAATGTGGGTTGGATGCATTGTGTATCCCATATGCAAGCTTTTCAATAGTGATCCATCTGCCCTTTCGATAAGATATGAAGGCTGTTCTGCTTGGGCGGACGCTAGTGTTGTTCGCAGCCACCATGCAAAGCGGTACATGCACGCAAGTTTTCGTGCAGGTGCTTGAGGCTTGAGTGTTCACCTATACTTGGCAAGAGGCGTGTTACTGCAACCCAGATGGCAGGACGGAATGGTCGTTCTCATACTTCAAATCAGCCTCTCGCCTGCATGCTTCGGCTTTCTTCAGAACAGCATATCTATCCAAAGATGAGACAAGCAACAAGACTCATGATGCCAATACCAATGGCGATGACAAGCGACTTTATGTGTCTTACAAGAAGTCTGGCGCTAGTCTTAAGTGTGGAACAGCAAGAACACTTGAGCATTCAAATACTAGGCTGAGTTTGAATAGCCGTCGGACACCCGAAGGTTTTGGATAGGTGCGTCTGCTCTTTTAGGTGGAAGTTGCTGCATAGCTAAGGAGACCGGCCTACAGTTCCTGATGGACACAGGCAAGAGGTGTTGTCCACTTGCAAATGCTGGGAAAGTTCATGATGCGAACTGCGCAGAGTATGTGCTGCAAGCTTTTAGACTGCCTGAGCGTGCACCTTAGCTTCATTTTGCATCCTAATTTGCAAGGTATGTTGGATCCCGACTCCAAGCCGAGACAGGCCATTCCTTCACATTGGCAGTGGCTGAGAGACGGTTGCAGCTCGCTGGATCCTGCAAGTCATTAAGTCCAGAGAACAAAACGTGCTTCAGGCTGTGGTCAAGGAAAAGCGCCCGCGCCCTGCGCCTCCGCCGTAGTAGGCTCAGCTGCATTTGCCTACACAGGCCACGCTCCCCAAAGTGCTGCAGGGATCATCCGTGTTGGGTAGTTGAACTTGAATTTGGTTCTGAGGCCCCCTCGAACTCCTTGGAATCCACGTCTCGTCGGCCGCCCCACCTTGGCTTGATGCCATAGCTTTGACGTTTCCAAGTATGGCAGGTAGAGCTCTCAGTAGCACGCTGCCAGGCGAGCCAACCGACGAACCTGAGCAAGAGGCCAGCCCAGAGAACCGTGGCGCTGAAGACGAGGAGGCGCTGCGCTGCTTCAATTTCAAGCTCTCTACCCTTCAGCAAAACCTGTAAACGGCAACAAGAGGCCTAGATAGACATTGTGTGCGGGATCGGATGGGTCTGAAGGTTTTGGACACGAGGGGTCAGAGATTTTGAAAGGATTCTACGCCTTTCCCGTCCCCTATACCTGTCCCGATCCAGGACCCTCGCAGTCCCCAGCCGGCTCTGCAGTGGCTCAGTAGTAGCTCCAGACACCTAAAAACAATCCCATCAGATTTGAGAAAGACCGGGTTCTGTTTTCCATGTTGGGTTTGGGGGGATAAGGATATGGAAGGGAAGTGCTGGTAAATGGCCTGACATGGCCTGACGTGTTCTGGGTCCCAAGCCTGAAAACATCCACCTCCCCTGGAAATGTGTTTGACTTTCAGCATGCGCAGACTGTCGTGTCGTGCCAGTGCGAGTTTTGATACGAGCATGGCGGAATCAAAGGTCTAACACGGTCTGAACACAATGCTATCTTTCCTAGGGTTACTCCGCGAATCTGATCGCAAATGCTTTTGTTGTAGGATCTAATCGTCAAAGGGTGCCTTGTATGGCAGCTACACCTAACTAGACCCCCTACGGTCCACACCTTCCCAAAGGCTGCCAATCCTTGAGCCAAGAAGTTGCTAAACCTCGATGTTGGGTCTCAGAAGCGGAGTGGCTTTGTCACTGCCACCATCTACTGCACCTTCAAGGAGCAGTATGATGAATACGGCATAGATTGGCCTTGTAATGAGAAGCGCTTCTTTGCCGAGATGCGAAACACTCAGAATCGCACATGCAGGTGGAGGACGGCTGGCCTGGAGCCACTTTCGGAGTGCCCGAGGCATGGCTACTGAGTAGGTAACACGCGCGGGATTCGCCTTGACAGGTTTAATGCAGGTCCGTAGATTTAGGAATTTGGGTTGATGTTACACTACGTGCAGGCAAACTCGCACAACCGCCTTTATGTGGTGAGGGTACAGTTACGATGTGGGTGTGTGTGCAATACATGCTCATCCGGTTTTCATTGCAGCAAAAATATGAACTCGACTTGGAATAGTATGCAGACAGCAGATGATGCCGAGGCCTATTTCGAATCAAGAATCTGGGCCCCGAGTACTTGGTAGGAATATGCAGGGCATACGCTATGGTGCTGTCAGAGATAAGTCACCCTCCTGGTCTGCACTCTGGTGTGATCATGCGCGCTTCAGTTCGGGGCCCTGGCGGAAGACGAGAACCAGCAGTTGCGCACTCTGTGCAGTTCTACTGAGTTGCGGTAGTCATGCATTGCTTTGACATCTGATACAACAGATTATCCGGTATGTTGTAGAGTTGCCTGGCCCACCTAGGCAGTTCTTTCAGCCTGCGCAGCGTGTGCCCATTGCCGCTACCTTATCCTGCGCAACCCTTTCTGTCATGTATTGAGTGGCGTGTGTTCTCTGCCATGCACTTCCACCGCCCATTGATTTTAGCTGCATTGCTCAGATGGCAGTGCAAGATGATGCACCCTTTGGGCCTCACCCGGACAAGAAGGCTGGGTCTGCAGACCTGACATGGTGACACAGCTATCCTGCTTCTCGCACGGGATGTCAATCGTCATGATTGATGCTAGCATGACAAGATGCGAGCTCAGGGATTGTGCAACGTGTTAACAGCGCCTCCCCTGGCTGCTCCCTCCCCCAGCGCCTTCCATCGCCTTCCCCTTATGCGCTTTTGCCCTTGAATTTCCGAAAGCTATCGCAAAGGGCTTGGCAGATTATTCCCGTAGCTCAGCTTACCATTAAAGGCACGTCGAAAGTCGGTGTGCATGGGAGCGCAGGACGGGATTTTCGGAGGCTTGTCTCCATTGTCTTTCTTCTTGTTTCCTCTTTTCTCCCTCTGAGCCCTTCTTGGCTTGTCCCCCTGGTCTCTCTTCTTGCCTCCGCACGTCTCCGTTCTTGTTTGCTCTTGTCTTCCTTCATGTGCCAGGTATGCCACCCTTTGTCTCCCTTCTTGCTTCTCATCTCCCTCTATGTGGTGTGGTGCGGGGCAGACTGGTGTTCAGAGGCTTCTCTCCCTTCGTCATTCTTCTTTCTGTTGTTTCTTGTGGTGGGAAGGGCGGAATGGGTTTTGGGGGCATATCTTGCTTTGTCTCCCTCGATGCATGGCCTGGCGTGGGTGAGGTCGGGCAGGGCCTAGAGGCGTGTCTTGCTTTGTTTGCTTTCTTGTCTCTCTTTGCGCTTCCCGCTTACTACACCTCAAAATGAAAGTTTGCTGGATGTGGAAAATTTCGCTGGATGCGGATTGAATTGCTCGATGCGCAGGGAAGCCGCAAGTTCGACACGATTTCGGGTCTGCGCGGATTTTGCACTAGGATGGCGGATGGGAGTGCCCCAAAATTTAAACGGCTTCTCTTCGAATGCTGGTCCAGATTCCACATGGCGTCCAACAGCATGCGATTGGTAAATAAGGACAAGCCGAGAACCCAAAAACAAGCCCAGAAAGGGCAACTGCGATTGGTAATCATCGACAGGGATATCGCTCTCCACAACTGGCTCTCCTCACCGGTTTCGTCACTCCAACATCAATATCGCTCACTAGTGATCGCCCCCTGTCTTGTCATGAGTCGTCCCCACAATATCGTTCTCCACAGGTGGTCCTCCTCACCCGCTCACCCCCCAACCCCCATTGCTTTCCCCAATCGTCTCTCCAATATCGCTCCCCACCAGTATCCCTGTCGTCCACCTGTGATATGGCTCACTAGTGAGCGACCCCCTCCCCTCCCCCTTGTCATGGATCGCCACCACAATATGCTTCTCCACTGGTGGTCCTCCTCACTCGCTTGCACCCCAAGGGCGCACCCCAAACCAACTAACATCGCCAACCTCTGACTGTTTGGAGCGCCTCTGCTGTCATTCTGCAGACGACCCTTGCATGTTAACTTCTGCAGACTATCCACCTTTTTTGTTTCAGGGGAAGTTCTTGCCTCTTGGACGGCGCCTACGCCTACGCGGTAGTTGCCACGATGATGATTTGTTTCCCACAACATGCTCTATGATGCTGACGATGTGTTGGAATCATCAGAGGTTACGATACTGCCTGTGATTATGACCGTGGCAGGGGCCGACCTGGGATGTTTATGGCGAGCCCCGTGCCCCGAAGGCGCCAGGCTTTTGCAGCAGTTCAAAGTCCAAATTGTAACGTCGCTGCTAGATGGTAGGCACTGCTGTTGCAAGCTAGTGCTACGTTTGTTGCTTGACTTCCTTTCAACTGCAGAAGTTTTCGAAGAAGATGGTACATGTACGCTGTGGCACGTGCTACTTTGCAGCCCAGACGACCGCCAGGGCAAGATCTCCCAGGCGTACGTGGGTGTGAACACAGATTACATGGAGGCAGCCACAGCATTGCCACCATATTGACTCACTTGCCCACGCAAACACAGCCCCGGTGGCTGCTCATCTCTTCATCTCCATCTCCGTGTGAGTTTGGAATGTTGTGAGGCCTTACGATGGATGCAACGCAGTGCTACTGTTACAGGGAGGAATGTGATGGAATGTGTGTAACTTGCGGTGCCGCAGCGATGGGAGCTCCACGCTAATGCAGCTGCATGATGATTGGAGACTGTAGATTGCTTGATTGAGACCTGCTCAGGGATGTATGCCAGAAAGGGTTGGCTGGAAGGTCACAAAAGCTAGCTCTTTTTCAGCTTGCGATAGTAGTCGTAACTGACTCTGGAGGGTCAGAAGCTGACTCTGAGGCCGTTCCGGCTTGAAACTCAATACTTAAATTGAAGGGTTGTTCCGGGAGTCCCCACCCTCCTTTCCTTCGCCCCTCTGAAAATGCCCGCAGAACTGATTTATTTTTTGGTTAGCAACGTCGGAACAAGATTTTGCTTTGCTGTTTCGTAGAGTCTTGCAAGTTCCTAACATTGTGAACACTGATGCCCAAGAAATGAGGATGTTGGGATAGTTAAATGGCAACCTTTGATCAGACTAAGTTTGAGCTTTCGGCTGTAGGATGTAGGGAAGGTAAACGTGACCGGGGCGGCTAATGGCCCTGCTCATGCCCTGTATCTTTGCCGCCCTCTTATCAAGTTCTGTTTCGCTGCAAGGTGGAAGGACCTACTGGCAGGAGGACCAACACCTCGGCCCTGGCACACAAGCGCAGCCACGTCAAGGTGCGATGGTTTGTGCCTTCACAGAGCCCAAGACAGTTCTCGGTAATGGAGCTTGCAGGCTTTGCCATGTAGTGTAGTAGTGCACGTGCTTACTTCGGGATAAGCACGGTTGACCATTGTTCGCACTCTACGCTAGTTGTGAAGAAGTTCGGGTCGAGGATAGTTGTGTCGATTATATCCCTATATAACCCCTCTATTCACAGTTTCCATTTCATTTTCCATTTTACATCCCTATATCCACAATTTCGATGTTGTTTTCCATGTTATGTTTGATTTGATTCTCCATTTTTTGTGTGTCCGATAGACTCCTTACACATTGATGCCGACCGGCAGTGTGTGGCTTCGTTGGAAACGATGACTTTTGGGGTCCAGGACCAGGAGCTTGCTCTAACTCGAGGCAGCCAAAGGTCGGCTGAAAAAGCCTGAGTCCGCCGCCGTGAGGTGGTGGACAAGGGCTGACGACGGCTGACGACCTTAAAGTATGCAATGACGGCAACAGTTGAGCGCTGTGGCAATCGTGGTCGCCCGTGGATGCAGCAGATCTCAACAACACAGAGCTTCCGCCCCCCTTATTCACATATTAATAAGCTAGGTAGGGCCTATTATTCTAAGGAAAGCAGATTCCAGAAGGAAATATGTATGACAAACATAATTTCATCTAATTTACATCTAATTCCAGATTGAAGCTAATAAGCTAACAGAAAGCGTTGCCCCGGAACCCCCAGTTTTTAGTGTTTCCGAGAACGCACTAATTCATACCCATTCAGTCTAGAAGGGTAATAGACAAGTAGGTATGGGAGGACTGCTAGAGTCGAAGCGAAGCTGTGTTTGGAGGTGGTGGAAAGGCGGGGAGCCTCTGGATTCGGGAGAGGGAGAGGGAGGGGTGAAAAAAACAATTATTGTTTTTGGGATTTCGTTTTTTTGGCCACCCTCCCTCTCGTGATCCCTTTCCAGACCCCCAGAGGCTCCCCACCATTCCATTTGCATGAAACAAGGCTTTGCCTCTATTAGTCCTGTCATACCTGATTGTCTATTAGTAGCGATCTCCGCCTTCAACGACCCATCTTCATTTAAATCGTTCAATGAATCAACAAATCAACTAACCTAAAACAAGCAAAGTTAGAGTTAGAATGCTACAGAAATAAAATGCATAAAATTAGATTTGTAAGAATAAGATAGAATAAGTTATAACAGTATGTATTTTGGAAATTTGAATGTTTCAGTGATGCAAAAAGGGAAACATAAATCCTAGAAAACACGTGATGAAGTGACTGTATTAGCAACCTTAAAAGATGAGCTAATTAGCAAACATTACAAAAACAATATCTTGTAGAATAAGCGAAAGTGAAAGCATTCAAGTAACTCTTAAACAAACAGTATGCTATCTATGACAACAAGTACTGGAATATAATACGGAATAACTATGGTATGAAAAAAAAAGTTACCTAAAGGAAAAGACTTGAATGAATTCGGACAGTCGTCTGGCTTTAGGCTTGGAATCGCTGAAAAGCATCAATCATTTTTAAAGCCTCACCAGGACTGCCCAAAGTCCTAATTAGTCAAATTCACGAACATTCTCAGGATAGTGAGACTACATTTACCGTATTTGCAGAGGTATTCTAGTGGGAGGGGCTCCTTCTTGCAGTTCAAATCATTACTCTAACAATGGTATAGATGACACCCCTTAAAGCCCCGTAAAGCACCCTCTAATCAATAGCCCGTAAAAATCTCTGTAAACACCGGATAGTGACCGTTGAATGAGTGGTTTTCCTGAGGAATTGGCTCAATCTGTGTAATTTTGATTTCTTGCCTGAATGGCGGCGTGGAGAGCGTGGCCTTGCAAAATGACAGCAAATCTAATCCTGCTGATGTGATTTCACACAGTATAATGTGAGTTGACGTTTCACAGCTTGACTAAGGGGGCTATGTGACTTTACGCGCTTTGACGGAGCATAGCTCGTCCCCCTGTACGTACTTACAACCCCTAGGCAGATTAGAAAGCGGCTCCAGATGAGGTCACCCGGAATGCTGTTTTACATAGAGGCTGGTCCCAAAGTGGCCTCGTTTCAAAGTGTGTTGTTGTTGCTGTTAGCTAGCCAAACAAGATCTTAGCACTGAAAACGGAGCTCCACAAGCTGACATAAGCTGCTTCGCGCCAGGGTCTGGGTGACAACCATATGCTGGTGGAGGCAAGAGCGTCTGGTCGTGTGAGGAGAACGTCGGAGACCGGACATATTCTTGTGTAGTCTTGTTTACTGGCTTGAAGGCACTTCTCCAAGAATGTGTCGTGACTATAAACGGCCATATCGTGGCGGGAACAGCACCAGCACAATGCCCTTGTACTGTAGCACTTCCGAAATCTTGCAGGACGTGTCCTCGTAGCTTTGCTGTTCCTGAACATGAAGTCCTTTCACCTTAGCATGCCCCCAGCACTCAAGGGCTCATCGGGTATCTCTATGTTGAGAACCGTGTGAACAGGTAATGCCTGGAGCCTGTCGCTTTGGTCCGCTGCGCCCGCCACCTACAGACTGAGGGAAGGGCAAAGGATTTGGCGTGAGTTTCTGGACGGGGGGAATCCACACTGAGAGTCTTCAGAGCAACTGTATGCATGGGAAGTAAAAGGAAAGGTTGTACGTGCGGCTAGTCTTGCCTTCTTGGAATTGCTCTGTCAGCCCTGGCACCCCAGATGCCAGTTGTTTTGCCAAGGCAGACCCAAAAAGCCTATTCACTTGTGATTTGTGCCATTGGTACGGGTTCAAAAAGTATCAAAATCATGCAAGAGCGAGTTGAATTACTAGACTGCTTTTCAGCGACTTGGAATTCGTTTCAAAGCATGCTGCCCACATGCTCTCTGCAGCGGTTCAAAGCTTGCACCATGTTGGGCCCTCTGGATTTGAAGGACAAAGAGGCCTTCCCAATGGCAGAGCGCCTCTCCTTATCAAACCCTCAGCAAAGCATATAGTCCCCCTTAAGTAGATAGAATATGGCTCTGGGTACATCATAATAAGATCCCCATATACCCCATATTCTATCTAATTAAAAGGGGACTATATTCATCAGCTCTGAATCGACAACGTCTCCAAGGTCAGGGCTCGCTCTACAGAATGCCACCTGGCTTCTGATTCTGACTAAGGGACAAATCGCAGGGAGCGTCACAAGGAGAATTTTAAATGCAGGGGCGTCCTTGGGAGTAATTGCGTGGAGAGATTGTCGTGATCAAGGGGGGTGGGTTCCAATTCACCGTTTGTCCTGGGATCGGTGGGCCAAGGAACTCTTTGCGGCCATGCTTTGAGAAGGAGGGTATAGAAGCGTCACTTTGGTTTTGACAGCTGCGCATGCAATGAAAAACCAAACTAGCTGCTGCAAACGGGTGAGAGTAATCAAGCTGGATTCCTGGACCAGGTCAGTCTTTGTCCGCAACTTGGAGGTGGATGTCACAAGGCAGGATCCCATGTGCGCACTCCTTTTCGTCGACCCACAACTGCATGGAGCTACGCCTAGAGCAACTCCAAGTCGCAAGCGTGCGCTGGGAGAGCTTGCGCTGGGAGAGCTTCACCTCGTTGCTAGTCGGAAGCAATACTGCCTTAGCTTTGCTTTTAAAAGTTTGTGACAGGTTCAATGTTAAGCCGCCGGAGAGAAACTCGCCCGCACTTTTGCCAGGGTGGAGACTAGAAGGCTTTTTGCAAAGTCAGCCAATGGCTCTGAGGCAAGCTGGTCAACGTGAAGTGGCAACCTGGACACCTCGCCCCAGGTGCAGCAAATGCAGCCATGTTCTAAGCTAGGATGTGTCCACAGGCCTTTAGCATGAGCAGCGGTCACGAACGAGATGTGTCTGCTTAGACGCAAGACTTCAAGGCAGCAGCTGTTTTACTGTCTCTGTTGTGAAGGCATGGCGACCAAGTTGACGGTTGAGGCAGCAACGCAAGAATAGCAGGGGTGCGGCAAGCCAACCTCAGCTAGTGCCTTTACAATGATCAATGTCATCAGGTGGCATGGGCCATCGTTGCATCTACTGAGTTTGTATTCGTCAGTGCACAATTGTTGCTGTCTCTATTCATGTTCATCACGTTGGATTTGAGCTGCCCGCAGCTGCGGGTGCAGCTTCTTGTCAGGCTTTGTTTTAGCAGTCCTCTCACTTTTCACTCCCTCGTTGAGCTATTGTTCTACTCTGGCTAGTAGCTTTGCCGGCTTGTTCTAGCACAATGGCGTTTGCAGACGATCTACTACTACAGGTACTATAGGGAAACCCCTTGGCAACGATCACGGCTCGATCAGTTACTGTAGTCACAACCTACCACAGCTTGAGCTCTGCTGCTGCTGCTGCTACCGCTCTTCTGCGAATGTTGCTGGTCCTGCTACGGCTACAGCTGTTGCCGGCTGCTCCAACTTCTGCCGCTGCTGCCGCTAATACTGTATAGTACTACTGCTGCTCCTTAACTTGTCCTCCTCCTGCAATCTATGTGCTTCTAGAATGCCACCGCAAGTGACAGGTATTGGCCCTTGAGCCGGCCCGCATCGAACAGCTGCTGGAGGTCCACACTAAGGCTGCCGGGCTGGCCGATAAGAAGGGGCTCAACATATCTCAGAATCGGTGTCCTGGGCTGCAAAGTCCCAATCTGCCCAGGCTCACATTATCCGCGTGCCCATCACAGCGCGAATCGTCGGCGCCGAAGAGTGCGCGGCTGTAGCAGCCAGCGCCGTATAGATTCGCACGTCAGGCAAGAAAAAGGTCTTCTGAGCATGCCCATCGAGAGCCGCCCCTGGCGTTGTCAGATTGACCCAGCCCTAGTTCTGTAAAAAAAATACTTTATGTTGAGACACGATGCGCCTCGCCAAGCGCATGCAGCAGTATCCTTCATGACCAGGTACGACCGCCTGGATGCGGAGTCGTCGCGGCCTTTGTCAACAGCCGATTCATAGCCAACACTGTCAATGCAGCGACTGCCAGGCCATGCATAAAGTATATCAGCAGTTCATATAAGTCGCAGCGTTGACTGTGTGCAAGGATCGAGAGGCCAAAGGGATTTCTTCTCGCGCAAAGGAATTGCATATGCCGATGTACCCGTGCCTCAGGAGAATCCAATCATTACCGTGCTGCAAAGCACACCAAGATGCACGAGAATATCAAAGCTCTGCGTGTTTTTGGGGTTTCCGAGGGCGCTGAAACTTCAGCAGTATCCATAATATGGACACAGCCCAGCCGGTATTTGTGCATGCTCGGAAGTCTCGTAAGTGCAACTCAGGATGGCGCTGCATGGACGGCGTATCGGCCGACATCGTGAAAAGTCTGAGACACATAAGTCTGAGACTCAACTTGCTGGTGGGAAAAGTGGGTGGTAGTGGTCAGCTGTGAATGAATGAATGAATGAATGAATGAATGAATGGTCAGTTATGCGCATGGAGGGATTGAAATCTAGGGAACTCACGCGTCAGCTTCTCCTGAGGCCGCCCATGCAATCCCCTGATAGCATGCGACCCTAGATTTGATAGCGCTTCGGACCTGACTCAAGTCACTTTTCGCAATGGTCCCTTGTTTGTAGGTTTGTGGATGAGGATCCTAATGTGGATGTACGAGCACGTCCCAGCGGGTACAGATATGGCTTTTGAAAACGGCTTGGGCGAAGAGCTTAAGGTGCAGGATTCCTGCAAGGCCTTCAGCTGACGATCACAGGGCTGCATCTCCCAAGACAATGCTTCATCCCGGCAGTAGACTTGGTGTGGAGGAGATTCTGGCAAATGAGTGTTTCGCTAAATCAGAGTCCCCCTCACCATATACTCTGAAAAGATTTTGTTGCCTGAGCCGGGCATGCTAGATGGCTCCAAGCCAGTAGTTAATCCCGGTCACCCAAATCGACATAGACTCCCGCTTCATTTGTTCGACTGAAGCAATAGAAACCTACTTGACTTAGAGTTGCAGCTTCTCATGTACGAGGCCTGGACCTGTGCAGCTCATCACAGAGCCAAGCTACTGCAAGAAGGCATCTCAGAATTGCAGTTTGGTCCTGGCTGTCGCAGCTTATGTCTGAATCACGGGACAGCACGGAAGGCTTCGTTAGGGCATCCGCGGCAGTAAGTCGAATCTTGCGGGCGAAAGTAGGCTTATGGAGATCTCTTTGCAGTTCACGTCTAAGATGTCAGCATTCAACTCATCCTTTCCAGTCTTGTGCTGTAACTTTGAATATCTCTGAGTCGCACCACCAGTACCACTCCCGCTCTGAAGCTGTGTAGACGCCTCTCGGTTCACCCCCCTTAATTGGGGTTTTATAGGGATAATGGAAAAGAAAATGGATACTACTATAGTATATATTGGGGTAACATTGGGATAATGGAAAAGAAAATAGAAACTACTAGTATTATACCACCCGAAGATGATCTGTGGACCAGATTTGTTGCGTACTGCCAGGTCATGGGCCCCACATGGCAGCCGCCACCGGTGGAGTTCGATGACCTGCCAGCCACCGAGCTCCTCCGCACCCCGGCTTCAACAAAACAATACTGGGTTGCTGTTAGGGAAGTTAAATTAAGTTACCATAATGGGTATATATGGTAGATAGTAGGGTTTCCCCAATATAGTAACTGGTGTAGGGTTTAGGGTTTAGGGTTGATATTTTTCAGGCCTAGACCCTCCTCCTACCCTCAATAAGGGCCTAAGTACCCACTGTTAGGGACCATATCCCCAATTAAGGGTACAAGGAGGGTCCTGGAGTATCGAGTTTGGGGCTTCGACTTTTTTGGGTCAGGGGTTCAGGGCTTGGATGTTTGGGTTTAGGCTTTGGGTTTTATCCATGTGGGTGAAAAAAAGTCTGGTCCACAGTTGCGGTCGTGTCAAGGGTTTGCTTTCGATGAGATGATCAAGAGCATCGATCACTTCACTTTTGAGTTGGTTCTATAACTCTAAGCAAGCTGGAGTTCTCCAGATGGTGGAAGCAAGGCATTCATATTTGACACTTCACGCATCATCAGTACTGTTATACTGCGCAGGGACATCCATTATAGGTCTTACCACTGGTTACATTCTAGGCGGCCGGCGAGAACTTTGCCAGTAAAGGACCCGTAGATTTGTCCTTGTAAGTGGACGAAGGCTATGCAACTTCATTCTCCTGTTCCATTTGAGTTTTTTGGGGTTCCACCTCCCACGATGTGACATCATAGACTTCAGAAGCAAACCTAAGCATGGTCTGCCTGTCGGCAAAATCGCCGAGGTAAAGCTCTTTCTTCTACAGGTTTTAGACGCTGCCGTCAGGTGCATGTCCCATCGTTAAGTGCACAGCCTCCTCCCCACACCTTCATGCTCTGGAAGCAGTTGAGCCCAGAAAAAAAATGTGCAACTTTGCTCCCATCCGCCTGCTTTTGCGCTCTCAAAGAGAGATTTCGACAAAACGTCATGCTTGGCTGTCTTCCTCTGCCGACCTCCCTTCATGTGGAACAGCAAGAATCCAGCCGCGCCTGAGGTTGACGAGTGACCCGCGGAAGGGAGATCCTTCAATTATTCAGTCGTAAAGCCAACAAGACGTAGTCTTGACCAGACGTATCTCTGTCTTACGTGCAAGTCCTAACATCCTGCAGCTGGAAGGCCTTCATTGGAATTCAATCCCGCTCGACAAGCAGAAGTGTTTCACATCGCATTGTCTCACGCAGACAACTGAGGCGGGCTAAAAATCTGGGAGAGGTCAGCAGTCAGTCGGAGGGCTGGTTGTCAGCCACCCTTGGCAGCCTTATCGCTTGCAAACCCTGGCTCCACAATGCAGGCTTTTGCAGTAATCGCCGGAGCTGGATCTATTGTGCATGCTGCGTGCTTGTTGACGGTTTGCCGCAGGAATGCCATGTACGACCTGCGCTCCGAACTGATTGTCAGCCCAGCCTTGAACAGGCGCGGCTTGCATCTCAGCATGGACAATTCACAGCGAGCTTCCCATTCTATCAAAGTGCCGCTGCGATCAGGCGACGCTGGGGACAAGAAGTCGACCAGGAGGTAGATACAGAAAATTCCTAGAGCGCGGCGGAAAACATGCAGGTGCGAATGATTCTAGTGTAGGGTCTTGATTGTCATTTTAGGGAAATCAAGGTTACCCGGTGATGATCGCACAAAAAATATTTGAGATTGAAGCTGTAGTATGTAGCATACGCAGACAACACTAGGTTGTGCTTCCATGCCGTGCAACTTTCACTTCCGCAGATGGGCTCGAAGCCTGCAGCTTTGGTTTATAAGATTGTATCTGTTGAAGTCAAGTTGTAATCAGCAAGATCGAGAGTGGTAAAGATCAAGCGATCTGAAGGGAACGTTTTGGTGTTATATTAGCTACTGCTAGGACCGCTAGGCTTCACAACTATCACTGGTTCTTGCAACCATGTGGCCGCCATTTTGTTCATGAGACATTGCCTTGGACGAAGGGTGATAGGATTGTGCTCGTTGCCATTTCTGCTGGCTGCTTTGAAAGCGGTTGCAGCTAGCAGTTTCAGGCATGAAGATGGCGTGTATTGGCTGGTTGATTGACTCTGGAAGCTGACGTCATGTTGGGCTTAGAGTCAAGGGCCCCTTCAAAGGGATTGTAAGGTTTACGCAGATAGAAATGGTCACTATATAGGGATGTGTAGGGTTTGAGATTAGTAAGATTTTTGCGTTTAAGGATATCAGGTTGATGGATTGATTAGGGGTTAGAGCTTAGGTCACTTTCAAAAGTGAATGCTTATGAGTGCCACCGTGAAACTCTTTTGGACAGAGAACATGTTCGAGCCTGAAGGATAAGTTGTGAGCAATCTTTAAAGGCCCATATTTTTCTAGCCTTCCTACCCGCACGAGGTGCCCCAAAATTCCACTGCATGTGAATCCCTGATTTAGAGAGTCCCCTACAGGGGCCCCAAGTTTCTGGAAAACTCCAGAATATAGCCCCCCGATGTTTAGGAGTCTTTCGCGTACCGTCGTAGGTACTAACCTTCCCCAAGACTGATACGGAATGCCAACTTTCAAAGAAATCCCTTCAAAGATTGATAGCATCCGGCTCAAAGGGGAAGTACTTCTGAAGGAGCCTTTGAAGTCAAGCACGGAGTTTGAGGGCCGACGGTCCTGTCGCTCCATGCCCTTTCTTCACGCAAAAAGAATTACAACAGGGGTAGGTGGACACTTCTGGCGAACACCCGGTCCGCAGCATGTCATGCAAAACGATCTGTCCATCTGTCCGCCTTTTATCCGCTAAAATGTACATGTTTCCCAGCGGATCTGCGATGAGTTAACAGTTAACTGGCCCACCATCTCATTGCACGCGTCCACGCCCACGATCTAGCAAGGTCCACAAAACAATCTTCATGCCTGCTTGCTGTAACCCATGATCATGATGTGCTTCAGAAAACGTCACGATCACGATTCTTGAGGCTCCAAAAGCTAAATCCCGAACAACTCCCAAAGGCACGAAACTGTGGCCATATAGGATGTAGCAAATCCCGTCGCATGTGAGCCCTCAGGAGCTACGTTCCATGCATGGTTACAATGAGCTTGGCCCTCCTTGCTACTACTTGTTGTGACAGTTTCCTTTTTTTCGGTCGATTTTGTATTGTTCATGTCTGTATAGTAAGGGTGTTATGATGAGCCGACGTATGGTTTTTGGAACACTGTTGGAATGCTTTTTTTTTTTAGTAGTAGCGTTCCCCAAAAGCTTTCCAGAACCCCGAACAATCTGGCCAGCAGGCTCCGTGACTCGCTGCCTGACTTGCGTCTTCGACTCAGTCCCATGCAGAGCTACGTAATCAATCAGCCGAATGATTGCTTTTGGCCTTCGTTTCGCAACTGCTTTGCTGTTGCAATCTCTTGCAGCGCTGCAGGCAAGAACGAGCAAATGAGTCCTTTTGGCATCTCTCGGCTCAAAAGCAAGTTGGCACAAAGGCCAGCCATAGCACGAAGCAATCTCACGCAGTCTGTTGGGTTGTTGGCCCCTCGGCAGTTGCGTAAATTACACGCTTCCACTTGCGCGAAGCAATCTGTTGGAAAAGTCATAGGAGGGAAATCACTCGGCGGTAAACAATTTTGAAAGAAGAAGAGTAAAAAGGCGAGCCAATGCTGCGTAAGCAAAATAAAAGGCGTGCATTTCAAGTCCCCGTTGTCTTCACTGTTGCGGCGGGAGATGCTGGAAATTACCACGAATCGGCCCCTGCCAAGACAGAGTCACAGTTCCGTCAAGATGTCACCGCACGCCTGCCATGGTCTGACGACTGCTGCCTGGGTCGAGCACCACCTGGAGTGCTGGACGTCCCTTTGCAACGCTAAGATGGGTTTCTGTCATTCGTGCCTGCTTCCCTTGCTTAGGCAGACGCGGCAGTGTGCGCAGATCTTCTTTCTCTCAGAGCTTTCTCGTCAGCTAGCAGCGCAGCTCGACCAAGTCCGAGGCAGGAGTGGTGATCGCATGCTTACTTCAAAGGAGTCATGCACGGAGTCATGCACGGCGTCATGCACGAAACATTGTTGGGAGGTGCACTGGAGCTTGTGGAGTATCGAGGTGTGAGCTACAAAAATGAGCAGCCGGGAATGCGTGTTAGTGTGTGTGGCAAGGGGGTGGAGGCCCAACACGGAAGGTCTTGCTTCAACTGAGGCTTCCTCCTTTCATGGAGCAGGAACATCCGCCTGGGGCGCTCTGGGCAAATACTCTCGAAGTCAGGTTTCAGAAACAGCCGGGCACCCATGCAACGGTATGGTTGCGTGATGTCCGAAATTGTGTGGTCTCTCTGGCGCGAGTTTCTACAGATTCTACAGGCTGGAGCCGCAACCTGCAATTATCGACTGCGCGGCTAGCACGTACCCTCAGCTGCGCTTGAGTGTCTGACAGGTGTTGACGTGCCTCAGGCCGGCTCACCTTTGAATTTGGCATAGGATGTGACTTCATCTCAGGATTCACAGACCCCCTCGAAATTCGGAAGCGACCACACGAACTTCTGACAGCCGAGCTCCTTCGGAGAAGGAAGCAGACTTTCAGAACCAAGAGTGCGAAGTTGATAGAAGTCCAAGCTTACTGGCAGGAGTTTTCAGACGATGAGGAAGACGAGCGGCCTCCAAGCAGCATCAGACGGTTTTATGTGCGCGTGGCATTGAGGCTTCCTGCGACAGGCCCATGAAGTTGTGAGCTCCATGTTCCCTCCGTGCCAAGGTCCTGGGATGAGCTGGAATCAGACCGAGAGGCCCGCTTTTCCTCATAGCCCTAAGTCTCAAGGCTGCCATGAGCCCTTGCCTGCTGCAACCTTTTCCAAGTGCATGCAAGGCAGTCCGAACCAAAGAGGACAACATGGACCAGATGGACGGGGATCCGCTAACGCCTCATGGTGTGCAAGTACTACAGTATAGTAACGCCTGCCTTGGTGGACTCTTTTGTAGCACGTGGGCGGGGGGGGAAGGGGGGGCGGGTCTTAGAGGCTGTGCAAGTTCTGGTCTGTAGGTTGATGCCGCAGAGTCCTCGCAGACCGTGAGTATAAAGGCATATACAGGATTTTGTTTATCAGATCTGAATTCGATGATTTGTTTCATTGTGATTTTAAAGAATATACTGAGCTCCGCCCTCCTCCTATTGAATTGAAGTTAAACCCAGGATCCAGAATCGTTCGGGGGAGGACTCCCCAGGGACCCAATCTCGTTGGGGAGAGGATCCCCTATACCCTAATCTGGATCCCACATTACATACAACAGGGGGAGAGGACGGCGTTCAATGTCATGGGGAAGGGATTACAGGAGTTTGACGGAATTTTGGCAGCGTGTTCTTGCGTTTCCTGTCTGACGCATTGCCTGTGGGTTCCTGCAAGATGGTTGCTGCTGCAGGAAGGGAAGCAGGGATGCGCTCCCTCCCCAGCCTTTCACCTCGCCACCATGCAATAAGCCCGAGCCTCAGAATGGGGCACTTGCTGTCAACAGTTGGAGAAAGCAAATTTGCCGATCTATTAGGAGATAGTAGCAGGAACAGGGCTCGACTTCGCAATGAACACGTTCAAAGGGCGGACGCTCTGCAACAGCTAGGTCAGCATGTTGCCGACATTCAAGTGAAATGCGAGCGGAGAGTCGGGAATCTGAACTTCAACTTGTCTGTAGACACTTTGGCGCGCCAGGATCTTTACTTCAAGAGCCCACAAACTTCACAAACAATCCCATTCTGCATCCGCATTCTCTCGTGCCGTGCATCGCAGTCCTTTCGCATCCTGTAGAAGCGTCTCGGCTTTTTGCCGCACAGGCTGCATGCCAAAGTGGTCACGCCAGATGCATCGGCATTGTCTTTCACTCAAAATTCAGGATCAACCAATGGAGTGAGCTTAGTCTGGATGACAACTAGACTGGTGCGCTGAAATTCCTGGGAAGCCGACGACCAACAATGGCCATCTAGGCACAGGTCGGTCAAGTGAGGAAGAGACTGTCCTTCATGACCTTCCTTCTTGGTGGTCATCTTTGATGAAAGCATTACCATCATGTCAGGGTTCGGGTTCAATGCA